AACAAACTCAACGGCACATAATCAACTCCTCAATCAACTCCTCTCTCTCTCTCTCTATATATATATATATAGATAGATAGATAGATAGATACATATATACATACATTCTTGGGGTTTTTTGCTTGTTTGTTTGTTTTCAAAATCTGTGGTTGAATTCTTCATTCTCAATTATTGTTGCTAAAATATGCATAGGCATAATTGGTTGTGATTTTTGAATAATTTTTTTTAAATATTAGATTATGGTACTGATTTCTTTGTGTGTGTTTGATATATATACTATTTTTCAAAAAACTCCAAGAATGTAGATAAAAATATTGAATTTCCTGTAAAATTTTAAGTAACTTCAGAGGATGATCAGTCCTTGTGACCATTTCAGCACACTTATACATTTCCTAAGAGATACAGAAACTGGCTAACTTACAGAAGTTTTGCTACAATCTGGACTCTAGTACATTCCCTTGAGGAAGCTGTGGGCCAGAGCAGGTTTCTATTGGCATAAGAATGCATTCCCAGCTGTCTGTGGAGCCATGTGGATGAGTCTGCTCAGCACAGTTTTGACCACTGTTTTGGAACTACCAGTTTGAAGCCAATCTATGGTGAACAGCACAGCACAAAAGGAATTTGTGTTGCAGTTGCTAAGAGACTAAACAGCACTGGTCAAAGTACAAATACAACTTTTCCAAACACCTTCAGTCCCTTGTGTGCCCAGTAAATGGCTGTGGATTTATGAATATAGCCTGAGAGCTTCATTACATTTATAAAACTAACAAAACAAAAAAAAGGTTTTCATATTTGAGAAGAAAAATGCTAGGACTTCAAAAGTATTTACAAGCAACACATAATAATCCAAATCTCTTACCTTTGGCTGGCCCCTGAATTCCCAGGAGTCATCATTATTGGCATGAAAGAAAAGGAAGGGAAAGAGAAATTTTGTTTAGAAAATTCATTTTAAAAAGTAAAGTGATAATAAATATTATATAAATTTACATAAGAATGTAAAATATTATCTTTGAAACCAAATTGCAATTCAAAATAAAGAATAAATGAATGTGTATTAATTAGCAAGACAGGATACTCATTACAGAAAAATTATTTGTATGACACAGGTAGATGAAAGACTACCCAACACTGGATAATGTTAAGCACTAATATTTCTGCCAAACACATTTTTCTTATCCTTGTATAAAGTCTTACAAACATTAAATACACGCACATACACAAAATCGGACTGTGAACCTTAAGGTCAGCGGTTCGAAACTAGCAGCAGCTCCACGGGAGAAAGATGAGGCTTTCTACTCCCGTAAAGATTTACACCCTCGGAAACCCTGTACAGGGTCGCTATGGGTCGGAACCGACTCGACGGCACTTAACAACAACAACAACAACATACACAAAACTTTACTTTTTAATCACTGATTTCACTTTCAATAGTTTTCTCTGCTTTGTCTGTACAGGCCCTTCTACAAAAAATGAAATCACCTGGTTTTAAAAAGAAGGCTCAATACAAGGGTTTAAAAAAACGTTAAAGGAACAACTAATTTCTTGACAGTGAACTTACTCCTCTTCATTTATCCAGCTGGTTCTAACATGCCTCCCACCCTCTAAAACTGCCCTCCATACATCTGGCTTCAAATTTAGAGACAAGTTTTAAGAAAAGCACAAAGAACTCACATATACCCTTCATGCAAACGAACCACTGTTAACATGGTCACAACTGCTCTGTCATTCTGTGGGCTTCCTCCTTTTCCCTCTACACTTCTCATTTCTCTCCCTCTCCCTCATATATATGTTGTTGTTGTTAAGTGGCACTGTAAGACAAGCACTGGACTAATAACTACACACACACACATATATATATACATATATATGGAACTCTGATAGTATAGTGGTTACAAGTCGGGTTGCTAACCTCAAGGTCAACAGTTCAAAAGTACCAGCTGCTCTGCAGGAGAAATATGAGGCTTTCTGCTCCCATCAAGACTTACAGTCATAGAAACCCTATGCAGAGTAGCTATGAGTCAGGAACCGACTCCACGACACACTACAATTACCAATATATATACTAAAGATTCACCTCTGATGATGAAACAGTGGTGTACTAGTGGCTCACATCGCAACTTAAAACATTTTTTTTTTAAAGGGAATATGAAAGCTTGTTCACAGATGGGCAAAGTATATTGAAAAGCAAGGAGATTATGTCAGAAAATTATGTATTTGTCCTTTCTAAAAGTTGATTAAAATAAATTCTACAGCCAGAGTGCAGATACTTTTTGGCTCACTTTCATGTACATGTGTGTAGGTACATACATATATATTTTTTGCTGTTGTTGTTAAGTGCCGTGGAGTCGGTTCTGACTCATAGCAACCCTGTACAGGGTTTCCGAGGCTGTAAATCTTTACAGGACAGAAAGCCTCATCTTTTTCCCATGGAACAGCTAGTAGTTTCGAATTGCTGACCGTGAGATTAGCAGCCCGATTCATAACCACTACGCTACCAGAGCTCCTCACATATATATACATATACGTTGGTGTTAAGTGCTGTTGAGTCAGAGACCCTGTATAGGGTTTCCAAGGAGCCACTGATGGGTTTGAACTGATGACCTTGTGGGTTCAAAGTCTAGTGCTGATCCTACAGCGTCACACCAGAAGTATACACACACACAAACACACACACATGAGGCTTCAAGAAGTCCATAGAAAAATTTCATTCTTTCAATTCTATTTACATTAACTCTCTGAGCCGCCACCTCACCCCACCCTGCTCCACATATATATATTCACACATGTTGTTGCTTCGTGCAATCGAGTCGGTACTCATAGTGACCTTATACACAACAGAACAAAGCACTGCCCAATCGTGTGCCAATCTCACGTGCTTGAACCCATTGCTGCTGTCATTGTGCCAATCCATCTCATTGGGGTCTTTCACTTTTTCACTGGCCCTCCACTTTACCATACAAGATGTCCTTCTCCAGGGACTGGTTCCTCCTGATAATACATCCAAAGTATGAGAGACAAAGTCTGGCCATCCTGGCTTCTAAGGAGCATTCTGGTTATACTTCTTTCAACACAGATTTGCTTATCCTTGTGGCAGTCCAAGTTACTTTTAATATTTTCCTCTAATACCATAACTCAAATGCTTCAATTCTTCTATGTCTTCCTTATTCATTGTCCAACTTTCACATGCATATGTTGTTGTTGTTGTTGTTAGGTGTCATCGCGTCGGCACCGACTCATAGTGACCCTATGGCACAACAGAACGAAACACTTCCTGGTCCTGGGGCAACCTCACAATTGCTGCCATGCTTGAGCCCATTGATGCTGCCACTTTGCCAATCCATCTCGCTGGGGGTTGTCTTCTTTTTCTCTAACCACCCACTTTACACAAACATGATATCCTTCTCCAGTGATTGGTCCCTCCTGACAATATGTCCAAAATATGAGAGACAAAGTTTGGCCATCTGGCCTCCAAGTAGCACTCTGGCTGCACTTCTTCCAACACAGATCTGTTGGTTCTTTTGGCAGCCCATGGCATCATCAATATTCTCCTCCAACACCATAACTCAAAAGCATCAATTCTTCGACGGTGTTCCTTATTCACTGTCCAGCTTTCACATGCATATGAGGTTACTGAAAATACCATGGCTTGTGTCAGGTGCACCTTAGTCCTCAAGCTGACGTCTTTGCTCTTCAACACTTTAAAGAGGTCTTGAGCAACAGATTTGCCTAATACAAATGCGTTGTTTGATTTCATGAGTATTGATAGCTGATCCAAGAAGAATGAAGTCTTTGACAACTTCAGTCTTTTTTCCATTTATCGTGATGCTATTTATTGATACAGTTGTGAATATTGTTGTTTTCTTTACATTGAGGTGCAACCCATACAAAAGGCTGTGGTCTTTGAGCTTCATCAGTAAGTATTTTAAGTCCTCTTTGCTTTCAGCAAGCAAGGTTGGATATTCTGCATATCATAGATTGTTAAAAAGAGTCTTTCTCCAATCCTGATGCCACATTCGTCTTCATATATTCAAGCTTCTCGGATTTATCTGCTTAGCCTACAGATTGATTAAGTATGGAGAAGAAAACAACCTTGGCGCACACCTTTCCTGATTTTAAACCACTCAGTGTCCCCTTGTTCTGTTTGAACAACTGCCTCTTGGTTTACGTACAGGTTCCTCATGAGTACAATTAAGTGTTTCAGATTCTCTGCAATGTTGTCCATAGCTTGTTATGATCCACACAATCAATAGCCTTTGCATAGTCAATAAAGCACAAGTAAACAACTTTTTGATGTTCTCTGCTTTCAGCCAAGATCCATCTTAAGTCAGCACTGATATCCCTTGTTTCAGGTCCCACATTCATACATACACATACATTATTATTTACTGAACCATTTGAGAATAAGTTGCAAACAGGATGCTCCTTTAGCCCACACATTTCAATGTATGGTTCCTAAATACAAGGACATTCCTACACACAACCACAATACAATACCAAGTCAACTAATGTAATAATAATGGAAAGAACTTTTGAAACTGGGATAAAACAGGAATAATAACTGGAACTGCAGGACTAACTGGCCCTTCTCAGAAGATCCAAGTTCCAACCCAAACCTGAAACTATACATGGAAATAATCCTTTCTAATCATCCCTTAATAAACAACATTCTTATCAATGGAGAAAAGATTGACGTTGTCAAGGACATCATTCTTCTTGGATCAACTATCAACACTCATGGAAACAGCAGTCAGGAAATCAAACGACATATTGCATTAGGCAAATCTGCTGCACAAGACCTTTTTAAAGTGTTGAAGAGCAAAGATGTCAGCTTGAGGACTAAGGTGCACCTGACCCAAGCCATGGTATTTTCAATAACCTCATATGCATGCGAAAGCTGGACACTGAATAAGGAAGACCATAGAAGAATTGATGTTTCTGAGTTATGGTGTTGGAGGAGAATATTGACAATGCCATGGGCTGCCAAAAAAAACAATGGATCTGTTTTGGAAGAATTGCAGCCAGAGTGCTCCTTGGAGGCCAAGATGGCCAAACTGCATCTCTCATACTTTGGACATATTGTCAGGAGGGACCAGTCGCTGGAGAAGGATATCATGTTTGGTAAGGTGGAGGGTCAGAGAAAAAGGAAAACCCCCAACAAAATGGACTGGCCAAGTGGCAGCATCAATGGACTCAAGTGTGGCAACAGTGGTGAGGTTGGTCCAGGATCAGGCAGTGTTTCATTCTGCTGTGCATAAGGTCGCTATGAGTCAGTACCGACTTGATGGCACCTAAGAACACCACCAATCATCCCTCTGACTCCTGGTGTGGCACTGTAGGATTAACACTGGATTATAAACCACAAATTCTGCAGTTCAAATCTAACAGCTTCTCCTCGGAAACTCTATACAGAGTAGTTTTGAGTCAGAACCAACTAGAAGGCACTTAACAACAACAACAACAAATCATCCCTTTGTCACATAAGGTTTTCATCTAAAGTTAACTGAACACATGCATTTATATAAAATTATTTCAGATTGGAACACTAAAACTTCAAGGAAAGTCTTACAAATGAGAGGCACTTGTCTAATATGATTTTCGAAGAGTAGCCAACATGGCTAAGATATCAAAGAAAACAATTTATTTGGAACAAGAGATGTGGAAAAACTTTCTGACTGAAAGAGTTGTGAAATACTGGTAGATATTACTAACATAAACCACCATCTTTTTATAGGTCTTTAAAACAAAACAAAAATAAAAAATAAAAGATTCTGGTTAATTGCAGATAGCTTAATTATAAATCTAACTGGAGATAAGAAAAGAACCATCAGGTACGAAATGCCCACAATAGAGCAGGTACACTATACGCAATTAG